ATCGACGAGTGAAACATCTGGAAGACGAGGGAAGACTAGAAAGACTAGAAAAATGAGGAAGGGGGCTGGATCGGCACCGCGTGTACGGTCTGGAAGTTTGGACGAGTGGATTCATAGTGATGGACCGTCTATCACGGACGGGGACATGGCCATAGCCTGTGGAGCGGAATCAGGAATGGAGTTCGCCCAGGAACGAGCCTACAAGCCACTAGAGCAGTGGCTACTGACGGGCAACTAGTACGCATCGGAGGTTTGGAGAGTGGGGTGGCGCAAAGACTGAGGGGAAAAGTTAAGGGAAAAAGAGGAAGCTGACAGCCAAGGAGTGTAACGAAGGAAGATCTAGTCCCAAAATGGGGTGTTCGAGTCTCGGAGTGTGACCGCTATTAGGTACGGTGACGAATATCGTGACCGTTCATGTTAGCGATGATGGACGGAGGACGGGATTTGTCTTGTAGAAGCGAGGATAAATTAAATGATTAGTATGCGATTGATTATGCATTTTGGACCACTCGGGACTTGATGGCCAAGAAACGTGAACGGGGCGTCGGATCTTGTCAGGTATGCAGGGCCATCAAGGTTTTTGCTTCGGTACAGCTAGGTCTCCTGCCAGAAGACGTAAGAGCTTCCTTACTTCCTTGTCTTTGAGATGGGTTTGTAAATCTACACAAGGCAAAGAGTTCCTCTATCAACAAAGCACCAAAGGCCTCGACTTGGTGGATAATCCAGCACTTGGTACATTTGTCCGCACACTTGGACCGAACTATCCTAAGCGCCTAGTATGTAGCATACGTTGCTAGTCCAGCCCATGGCCCCCTTCCCCTTAAACTGTGGTGACATTCGTGCCGTTTCGGTCCCAACATACTCTCGAGATCGGCAACCTTCATGGAACTCGGGTCTCTAATCTCAATATGAAGGGATGGGAACAAGAGCCCCACTCAGGAGAGCTACAGTACCATCTCTTGGCCCTCGTCTGGGCTTCTGGAAGTTAGGTGGATGCGTGGACGATGACCGTCCAATTTTTCGCTTTTCCATAGTGGGCCCCCTCCAGTGCAGAAAGTGGGCCCTGCAAAGGCGTCCCGAGCGGTACAGGCCTTAGGATCGCTTTCCTGCTGCGGAATGATGTGGACAGGGTGGACTTGGAGTGTTTTGCATTGGTCATCCCTGTTCAACCGAGGGAGCTAAACTCGATTGAGTGGTTGATGGGTTGATGAGGTATCCCATGATGTTGGCACCTACTGTATGTACGGAGGATATTATTAGGCCAAGGAAGCATCAGATAGTGATGGATGGGTGCCTTGTGTGGACGGCATTGAGGATGACGGAGAATGTGGTTCCGGCATCTGATTCATGGGTAACTCCCGGCCGTTGCTAGGCATCGATAGACAAATACTAGGTACAATGTAGTCCGTACAAGGCGTTACTCCATACATGCGAGGGGTGATTCCTTATCACGCAACAATCAGGAAAACTATGCTTCACAATATAGGATAATTACTGGAGCACCGCCTCTAGACAGCAAGGCAGAAATTGCAAACCTTGTCCCCTACCGTAAGAGGAGGTAATAAAAAAAGAAATTAAAAGGCATCCGAAATGTCAAACTTGCTCATCCGGAGGGCCCGGGCTCCCTAATGAACCCAAGGCTAGCTTTTGGCACGGCGCTAAGCACGATCAGATCCGCCCGGCCACGTTGTGAATGGTGGCTCTACCGCCCGTTTCCTGACCCGAAAAGGTCGAATCCCATTTTTCTCTTTTTCATTTTGCTGCTCCCTTCCTTTTTCCCCTTCAATTTATTCCGTCTTCTGATTGGGACAACTTCCTATGTTGCTCTTAGGCTCTTGGGTCAATCTACAAACAGAGGGGCCACGATGTACTACTGTATTGAACTAATCCCGTCTTAGTGCCACGTTAGTGAGCGGGAATCCTGTCTGTCTTCTGGACATTGGCTCCGACCTTGACTAATCCCAGTCGGTCGGTCGCTCTCTCTCCGTCACCCGTATAGAGCACTCTTAATCCGGAGTGAATCATAGACAGGATAATTTACTATGCGTGTTACCTCCAATCCCTGTGCCTATAGGCTTCGAGACCGATTGGCAGGAGTGACGACGACAGGAGGACTAATCACATTCGAATCCTTGCTCCGAGTCCGTACTTTTCTCGTCCCCACGGAGTCCATACGCAGATGACCGCCCGAAACCGCTGTTTATGAATGGTTGAAATATGTTGAGTCACTTTAGGCCGTGCTCAAAGCTCGGTTCCCTAGGAAATATCCATAGAACTCAAGAAAGGCAAAAATTGTTAGAACCCCCCCCCCCCCGTCAAACCCGAGAACGAGATTATTCAGACGAGAAAAATTAGTTAACAATTAAAAAGGTTTAAGTAAAAATTAAAATTAAAGGTAAAAGTCCACGCGCAACGCTTAGGATTGCCGAGCTTCCCGCCCAGGACGGTCGTTAAGAACACGGGCGAACACCGGTGGCGGTACGACGGGCATTAAAACAAGGCCCACTACCAACGCCTCCTCGGGTAATGCAGTCCATCAAGGCCAGCAAAATTGCTTTGAACTCTCGCCGTGCCAGGGCTCAGGTGATACTCGAAAATGACTTTCTTTCAGGCTGGCGCTTTTTCGTTACTTCTAGGCGTTGATCGCTCGGCCAGAAAAGGAATGCAGGCATCTCCGTTATTGATCCACATCCTGGACGGAGCATAGTTCCAGGGCGGGCGTATAGAGGGTCCAATCATGAGTCGAGGGACAGGATATTGGGGATCGGAGGAATAAGAAAATCAATATTCGTGCAATACGTAGTAGATCGGGGGTGGCGATGATGCATCTCCTGCATCATGTACTCCGCGGATGGACGAGGGCGGCGCCTGCAGCGGAGAAAAGGCACATCACCGGGCATGCACGGTGCAAAGAAGGGCCCAAGAGTTTATGCGTGCTGCCATTCTTTCCTTTTGTCTCTGTGTCTGACGGGATACGGAGGCGGGGGCTAAAAGGTAAGGGTGGCTGATGGCTGACCGACATCCAGATTTTTCTGTCTCTGTAGATTGTTTCCTGCCGTTGGTCAGCCATTGACGCCCTTTGGATCTAGACCACTTGGGAAAGCCTCCGCGAACGATAGTCATCAGAACCATCAAACCCATTCGAAATCTGCCTCCGCCTTGTCGTGCTCGGTCCAGTGGAGGCGGGTACATGATTAGGTCGAAGTATAATAATAATATAACCATCATGACGGAGCCAGGATGTCGACCGTACTCCACTTTTCTTTCTCTGAATGTGAATAATGATACATGGAAAATTTTGGATTATCTTTTTCTGCTCTCTTCCTTTGGGGCGCGAGGACCACACCCCCCCCCCCCTTTGTCGATATGCACAGGAGCGACCCGAAAGATGTGCAAGTCGATCTTTGAGGGAGCCCGTCACATTGTCTGCCACCCTTGCGTAACGGAGTCGATGGAGACGCTATGGAGGGGGGGGGGGCTAATAACAGTCATAAGAAAATTTTGACCTCGGTCGCAATTGAACACGAATGCGGGATAGACTCCCAGATTACGGGAGCATAGGACAAGTGCAGCTTACCGATCATTGAACATAAATCCATGATCCATCACTCATACTGTCCATGCAAGCCGACCAATGTAACGAAGAGATAGCATGTCAGACTGGCATTCTTATTGCAGGGCTGATCATCTCCGTAAAACCGATGGAAAATCGCAAATCCAGGGCCTCGCTAAACAAGGAAGTTGTGGCTGCCGATCGAGTTAGATCACGGCCAGGCGGGCATTCCAAGAGCGGGTACGGGGCCAAGGTTCCTGGCTCTTGGGACGGTTTCTTAGGAAAGAGAAAGAGGAGCCTAGCCGAGCTAGTAATAATAGTAATAATATTACTAGGACAGGAAAAGAAAGGAAAATCAAACAAAGTGTAGCCCCAGACCGGGCCCGTGTGTGAGGGTCCACTTCTATACTCTGTCCAGTGTGCACTTGTGCAGTGAAATGTACAACTAATACGGTAATTTACCAAGTTATAGAGTACCACCCTCATAGTAGATATCTTATGATCCTCGAATAGGAACCACGGTGAATGAATAGGATCTAGTCTAAGAATATCATGTAATAAGGATGCAGTACACACCTTAGTCCCAGTCTCTCCTAAAGCCTCCAAGCCTCCAAGGCCTGAAAACGATTCAAAAAGACAATCCAAGAAACACCCAGGAGTCAAGATGCAGTCCGGTGGACCCTCGACTGGAGCCTTTTCCCCATGTTCGCCGCAAAAGACTGCGCTACGACGTATAGGTCCGATCATCCCTCCACTAGACCCGGCCTTGGTACACGCCGGAATATTCCCCTTGCCCACTCTCCTTGGTCCGTGAACCAACTAACGTTAGTTTAGCTGTCTGAGCTGCTTCTGGTTGGCTTTGGTTAGCGACTGGGTCTCCAGCCGAAACGGTGGATCCGCCTCCAAAGCTACCTCTGATTCATCGATGGCTTGGATCATTTGGATTTTATTTTAACCATTTTTTTTTTTAATTTAAATTTTTTTTTTAATTTGCGAGTACAGATGGATCTGGGATTCGGGATTCTGGTTGGACTAGGCTCGTTTCGTTAGTGTCAACGTCGTGTCATCTTAGCAAGTTGTTAGCATGTGCGGTGGGATCGTGGAACTGGGTAGATCGGCCTCCCTGGATCTCGCTCCCCTTATATGAATACCGTCGCCCTGCAAGCCTCCTACTTTGATTGGAATGATTAAACGTATACGACATTAGGATCCCCCGCGATAAAAACCTCCCGCTCCTGCCGTCGTTCCTTTGCTGGACCTTTGGCCCTCACCATCTCTCCTTCCTTTTCGTCAACCATCATCACCCACCATCTACCGCCAACCTCATCACAACTATCCCATTTCACCTTCTCTGGAAGTTCGGTCGACTCTGTCTTCTTCTCATCGAGTCACTTTCCGTGGGTAACTCAAAAGACATCATTTCGACTCTCCATCAACCTGAGTTTTTATGGCCGATTACTCCGACTTCATTTATCATCAACCTCAGGCGTCTCGAACCTCAGGCTCACAATGGCTCCCTGAATTCGCGTCTAGTCAACTTTCCAACGCTCAAATGCAGGACTGGATTCGTGCTTTCCCTCGGCCGCGACCAAACCGGGTCATGAAGCCTCGTAGTGCGGGCAACAGCCCGTCGTCGGCCGTCCGGAGACGCACTACCATCGCTCAGAATGTCGGAATGCCCAACCAGTATCATCAGTCGGCCCTAGAGGCGGCGATCCTTGCGTCAAACACGCACAACACTCGACCCATCTCCTGGCATCCTTCCTCGGCTAGGTCCCGTGGGCTCTCGAACCCGATCTGCCTGCCTGATTATGCCTCGGAGAATTTCACGATAGCTACCATACAAGATCAGCCCATGAACGGCCTACCAGCTGACAGCATGATGTCCTATCCTGTCTCCGCGGGTCCAACTTTCTCCGCTGCATACTTCCCCGAATATGCGGACATGCAGGATTCCCTGGTCTTTCAGCAACAGACACCCTCCCTTTCCGTGGCTGGCTCGCAGGTTGAGCCGATCACTTGGGATACTACTGCCAACACTGACTTCTCGGGAATCGACCCATCCACGTCCGACGGCTGGACCCTGGACATGCTTTCAATGGCCAACAACATTCCTCCAGCAGAGACAACCTGCCCCAGCTATGCCAGTGTGCCCTCGCCCGGTGAAATGAGTGGTCCATCGACACCGGACTTCCTTCCCATTCAGCAGTTTGATGACGAACCAGCATTTACTCAAAAGAAAGCTGGCAAGCCCGAGGAAGAACTTGTTGGCATGGGCTTGTACAGCCACCCCAGCAACGCTCTTGGCCAAGTATACCAGGGAACACTGGGCAAGGGACTGAAGCTGGAGGAAACCTTCTCGCCATCTGACGATGAAAACGACGACGAGGCTGATGCCGAGGGTGAGGTGGATGATGAGGTCAGCGAATCCGGTTCGACTCAACCTCAGTTCAACCCGCAAGAGCAGCTCTCCATGGTGCAGCACTCGAACTTCCCAGTGTCGAAATCCTCATCCAACCAAGCTCTTAAACTCTTGCACAAGTCCTTTTTCTTTGATAACGACGATTCCGATCAACATGTCAGAGCTCCCGTGCAGCGTTTCCCCGACTTGACCCAGCCTTGCATACCCTATGGTTACTATCGGGTCTGAGCTCATCAATAGCTGCAACACACCCAGCATTTTCATTTTTGTCGCCCCTAGTATTATAGCGAGCATAGCGTGGAGTTTGATGTCCCATTTTTTATCTGTTTTTTTTTTTTTTTTTTTTTTTGCTCAGGAGTTGTGATAACATGGAAGGATACCCTGGGACTTACTTTTTAGTAGGATGGCTTCGACCAGGAGCAATCGCTCAACCTTTTTTCTTTTTGTTTCAACATAGCAACAGCTGGCGATGACAAACGATCTCGCCCAATCAAACTAGCTTCTCAAGCAAATCTTCCTTCTCTATTGTAGCCTTTGCCTCATCCGTTGTACTATCGAGCCATACTTTCGAACTCGTTCATTGGCTACGGAAGCTCTCCCAATCCGTATAAGCTACGTCGATGGATCAACTTGCCTCCGAAGATATCTTCCTTGCAGAATGCGCACTCTATGCTGATTAAAGTAAGAATTTGGGGGCTTGTCAGGTCTGGAGAGGGATAAATGTTGGCAAATATCATGATAGTTGTTTCGAGAACGATGGACGTCTGAGTACTATTGCGGATAATGCTTATACAGCCTCTGGGGAACTTCATACCACAGAGCCCTCTCATATCCGCAGATTACCAAGACAAAAAGAAAATTAAAAATCCCTGCAACTACCCAAGAAAGAATATAATGCTTTAAATTCTCGGGCCTTGGAAGCTAGGAATACCAGACTCCCGATCAAAAGCATGTTCGATAAAGGGAAAAGGTGGGGGTCGTCGAGTGAATAGGTGACCGACGTCATACCCACTTTCTCCCAAGTCCGTCTCGTTTACAACCCACCTTGTAATCGGCCAGGTCGGAAGCCAAACAGCACCCACAATGCGAGCCTGAGCGGTGCAAAATAAATCTGAAAAGTCTGACGCGCAATGGCCAAAGATCTCGGGCGGTCAATTTCGGGCGTCACGGGCGAGGTACGTTCATCGCTGCGCTGCGCAAGGCGCCGGGGGTGGTCAACGACGCGAGACTCGGTGATTGACTTTATGGCCTTCGTAGAGCCACGGGGCGATTAGCGACTCGGAGATGCAGCAAAACCAGCTAGAGGTACGAGAGCACTACCTATTTGACTGATTACTCAATTACATCGATGTGGATTGCTGACCATTGCCGTCCTTTGGGGGGACGCTTTGCTTTGCAGGTCGTTTTCTACCCCGATTCCAGCCACCGCCGTAAATCCTCCCTCGTTACAATGGAGAAACCACGATTTAGACCACACTTCGATCAACATGACAAGTCGACAGCTTGTTATGTGCATTCCCTCATCGCCGGCGAATGGGCCGTACCGTCGGGCCAGGTGGACGAGGCGCAGGACGTGATCCGGACATTAGGTGATGAGGAGGCCACCGTGGATACAAAGTCTTCCGACCAGGGTGACGTGGTTTCTGTCATCGATACCGATAATAAGATGCTCAAACCCGTGCCGGCCATCGTTGAATCGCGGCACCTGACGAAGCGACAACTCTCTGATATGGCATGGAATGTGCGGAAACTCTCAAAGAAACTCGGCAGTATCAAGCTCAAGCTCACGGTCCAGAACGTGTTTATCGTGAGCAAGACACATGATGAGTCGCTAGTCAGTCTGACCAGGAAAATGACCCGTTGGCTGCTGTCCAAGGACCGGGATGCGCCGTACAATGTTTATGTGGAGCGCCGTCTAGAGACACATCCGGATTTCGGAGCATTGCAGCTGGTGCAGGAGGAGCCATCAGCCAAGAGCCGGCTGCTATACTGGGATCCAAAGCTTGCGCAAGAGCAGCCGCACCTGTTTGATTTCGTTATTACTCTGGGAGGAGACGGGACGGTCCTCTATACCAGCTGGCTATTCCAACGTATCGTGCCACCAGTTCTATCATTTTCACTTGGCTCACTGGGATTCATGACAAAATTTGATTTCGCCGATCACCAAAAAATCCTCGAGAATGCTTTCCGGGAAGGCGTCGTTGTCAGCCTCCGGCTGCGCTTCGAATGCACTATCATGCGGAGCAAAGCGCGGTTGAAAGACCCTAACTCAAGAACTCTCACAAGCCGGGATCTGGTCGAAGAATTGATTGGAGAGGAAGGAGAAGACACATTGACACATACCCCGGACCGAGTTTACGAGATCCTCAACGACGTCGTTCTGGACCGGGGTCCAAATCCAAGTACGTGATATAACCCCCTGCAGGCCAAAGTTCAATGGGCTCTTCCCCCCCCCCCCCCGGCAACCATGCATGTCTAACAAACCCTCTCTCAGCCATGTCTCAAATCGAACTGTTTGGTGATGACGAGCATTTCACTACCTTGCTTGCAGACGGAATCTGCATTGCAACTCCGACGGGTTCCACGGCGTACAACCTCGCGGCAGGCGGCTCGCTTTCGCATCCTGAGAATCCAGTTATACTGGTAACCGCCATTTGCGCGCATACCCTATCCTTCCGCCCGATTATCCTACCGGACACTATTGTGCTACGTATGGGTGTGCCTTACGATGCGCGAACCAGTTCGTGGGCTAGCTTCGATGGACGGGAGAGGTGAGCCAAATCTACATCTACATTCGATCGGATTCGAGCTATGGGCATCGTTTGAGCTGACTGGTTACTTGCAGAGTCGAACTACATCCCGGTGACTATGTGACGGTGTCCGCATCGAGATACCCATTCGCCAATGTGTTGCCTCAGGGTCGACGGGGCGAAGACTGGGTGCATAGTATTTCGAAAACCTTGAACTGGAACTCAAGGACTAAACAAAAGAGCTTCAAATAGGTCTTTGGGGGGGCTTCCAGAGGCGTGTTAAGATTGGAAATCTTGGGCATATTGGCTTGGTCTCTGTTCGTTTCTTTTGTTTTCATTTTGGCTGGGTTGCAATGGCCACTGGATGGCCCGTTACGGAGTGTATATTGGGCACATATTGGAATTGACATTGGCTTGAATATTATTGACGTGCATCGAGACGAGACCTTTAGCTTCAGGCAGTCTTGCTATCGTAGCGACTTGCGTAATGAGGTGAGGGTTTACCCGGACCTACTTTCCTTTCATTTCTATTTAGATCCATCTGTACAGTATCACAATTATGAACAGACTTTTCGTACGTAAAACCTTTCGGTCCGCTTCCAAGTGGATATTCCAGAATTTTCGAATTCTCAAGCTCTGGTGGAGTCCAGCACTCATGATTGATGCTCTCTACACGTGATCTGCATCACATGACATAAAAACTAAACCTAAATAGGAGAGACCCACTCCGCGCAGCAAATCCACTCTTCCCTATAAAATCCTCTCGATATTTTTTCCTGCTCTTCCTTCCTCATCTCACTCTCCCCGAGCAGGAAAGTCTAATGCGATCTTATCCTGCTCTTGGGTTTCCGCAAAGAGAGATAAAAACATCGACAGTCTGCCGCCTACGATTTACAATTTATCACTAACTTGGTAAGTTGCCATTGGTTCCCATCGTCGATTCCTGCATCGCACTCGACCAGCAAGGGTTGTCTCGTTACTCGGTGACGAGACGACCTCATTTCTATGATGAAAAATTTCCTACATTCGCAGTTTCCACGCTAGCCATCGTCGAACCTAAATCAAGATGGTGTTGAGCGCATAACTTCCTTGGATGTCTGATTGAAATTGCTGGTCGCTTTGTCGATCTTTTTCACTCGACGACTTTTGTCGTGTTATTGAACCTTGCTAACATGCTCGCGTTTCAGAACAGAACAGAGTTATATTTCTCTTGAAGGTACCACTGGTGACCGCGATTAGCTTTTGCTCTGCTGTCGCTGCTGGTTTTGGTCGTATGCTCTAAGTTGGTTGGAATCAATTTTTTTTTTCCAGCCGGCCTGGGGCTCTATATCAGAATCCGGCTGCGTCGGGGTAGAACTATCGTGTCTAGAATACATGAAATCAATGCAAACAATTCTTCCAAACAATCTTTTCGTCGCCGTAAATCGAAAGACTGTAAAACGAGTAGACTTTTTTTTTTTGGCTTCGATCTTGAGCTGAGCAAAATAGCTCTGGGACTGGCTGAGACTTGCACCCTCGGGCGATGTGCTCCACCGTAGATTCATCACACACAGCTCCGCCGCGGCAGACCCCTGCTTCACTCATCTCTCCCCGCCAGTCACCACAATCCACGATGATCCTCTGAACCTGACCCAATTCTTCTTTCGAGTTCTCCAAATCGACTCTACTTAACACGCGAAATTCCCCAATTCCCATCACAGACCATGGCCACACCTCCTAGACATTCCACGATGCTATCCGTGAGCAACGCCGTAGCCACGCCGCAGTCCGGAGCAAGCGACAAGTCACAGACTCCACAGCAGCCCTCAACACCTCAGCCAACACAAGGTCTCCGTGTCCCATCAAACCGCAAGACCATTTACGACCGACACCTCAATCGGAGCCGAAATGCGGAACTCAGCCGGGCGAGCTTCGCGTATCTCTTCGGGGAGATGGTCACATATGCCCAGCGGCGAGTAACGGGCATTCAAGATTTGGAGAAACGGTGCGTGTCCCATAGACATATGAACACATTGTGTGACATGCCACGAGAACGAAGCCGCTAACAACATGACCATTCTCTAGATTAAATGAACAAGGATACCCTCTCGGCCTCCGCCTCCTCGACCTCCTCTTCTACCGCACAACAACAACCTCATCATCTGCCCTCTCCAGCTCCTCGACCTCCTCCTCCCCACCAAACCGACCCCTGCGCATCCTCACCCTCCTCCACCTTATCCACGGCCCCCTCTGGCGCCTCCTCTTCGGCCGTTCCGCCGATGCCCTCGAGCACTCCGTCTCCCCGGACACGCCCAACGAATACATGATCACGGACAATGACCCGCTCGTGAATACGTATATCAGCGTTCCGCGCGAGATGAATCAGCTCAATTGCGCGGCGTTCGTGGCAGGCATTATTGAGGGTGTCTGTGATGGGTGTGGATTTGAGGCTAAGGTTTCGGCGCACAATCAGCCGACGGAGATGTGGCCGAGTCGGACGGTGTTCTTGCTTGGGTTTGGGGAGAGTGTTATGGAGAGGGAGAAGGTGCTTGAGAGGGCGGGTATTAAATAAGGATGTGTGAGGAATGAATTAATGCCCCTTGTCCATGGCCGGTTCTCAGCTTCGGCGCCGGATTGATGTCGAGCTCCTGCTTATCTGCTAGTGATATCGGGCAGATATAGGAGCTGCTGCGCTATATTGCGTATTTGTGGGCCGAATATACTCACAGTGACCCTTCCCCATTGGACCAGTCCACATACATGGGTGATCGAGCTGCGGTTGCTGTCGTTGTGCATCGACAGGAATAAATGCCGGCCTGGGAACTGGACTACCATCGGAGCTCACAGTGATGATCATGTACAAAGACTTAGCTGGCAGTTGGCCAACGATGATTGATTAACTCAATAATAACGAACCCTCCGGGAGAGGGATATGTCATGTCATATAGAATGCAGGGAATATCGATGCCTCAGAAGGCCATTATATTACATAGACTTGAACCCAACCTACCACGCAAGCTTTTGATCAAAAACGCTATGCCAACGCCATGAACGGATGATCTCATCAAGAGCTCTCCACCCGTCGCCGTTTATCCCGGTCATCATATGGTGACGGGCTGCGTTTCCTCCGCTCCCTAGATCGACTCCTCTCATCGTGCCGGTCTCTCCTAGGTGACCGTGATCGCGATCTCGACCTCCGTCGCTGCCGGACAACACTGGCATTAGCACCAGTCGGCCCCGATGGGCCCTGACCCCGATCATCGCCACGATCAGGCATGAACCGCTCGTCCGTAATTCCAATCGGAGGAGCATTCTCCCGCCTCCGATTCTGATAGCCTTCGCCAAACCGGCCCGTATCCTCCGTCTTCAAATCTCGGTAGCGCGTACGTCCCTTCTTTCCCAGCTTGGTCATATCCCGAATCTGCATGTACTGAGGCAGCGTCTCGACCGCGACATCGTCTGCGAACCGACGACCCATAACATTGCGCTGGTCCAGACCTTCGCGCTCCTGATCATCCCGGAAGAAAGCACCCTTGTGGAAATAGCGTTGCATGAATCCGGTCTGACCGCGGGTTGCCTCGCGCTCTTCGTTCTGCTTGGCGATGAACTCCCGATCCTCGCGCTCGCGTTCTTCAGCGGTGAGATTGCGCCGGCGCTCGATCTCTTCGCGTTCTTTCTCGGCTTCTTCGATGGCTTCGCGCTCGCGCTTGACGCGCTTGAGTTCGCGGAGTTTCCAGGCGGCGTACTCGGCTTCTGGGTCGATGCCGTCCCGGTCATCGATGGCGGTTTCTTCGTCGGCTTCGGCGAGGTCATCGTCATCGTCCCATGCTTTGTTTGCTGCGGACCGTGCAATGGCGTCTTTCTCGAGTTGGTCTCGTACCAGTTGGTCTGCCTTTTCTTGGCGTTGAGCACGTTTTGCTTCGCTATCTGCAGCGGAGTCGGCGCCACTGATCGGTGCTTGGGCGGGGGCCTCTGCGCCTTGTGTATTGCCTCGTTTATCTTTCTTAATGAATGTCGGCCGAATCAACATTCGTCGTGGCGCTTCATCCTCTGAACTACTCTCTTCCTCAGAGCTTTCTTCCTCCTCTTCATCGTCGTCGTCTTCTTCCTCGTCACTCCCCGCTGGCTTTGCGACTGGCGTGGGTTTAGGCACTGGAGCTTGGGCGGTATCTATTCGAGCCTGGGGCACGGCCTCGGCGATTGGTTGAGCTGCTTCGTCTTCATCTTCATCGGTCACGAATCCTTCTTCATCCTCGTCTTCCTCTTCTTGGGCTTTCTTGATCGCAGCTCCGGGGAATGAGCTCGCTTTCGGTGCTTGCTGTCTTCGTCGTTGCTCTTCCGCTCGACGCTTTCGCTCAAGTTCTTTTTGCGCCTCGATATCCTCCTCCTCGGATTCCTCTTCAGAAGATTCCTCTTCTGCGATCGCTTTTCCGGGACGATACCGACCCACAGGCTTGAGTGGGTTTGCTGTCATCCCACGATGTTGGGAGGGGAGTGGAGGTGGCATTGTGGTGAGAGGGATGAAAAGTGGCTAAGAATATGCCCAGAGATATGACAAGTAAATCTGGAAATCTTCGATTTCGGTTTCCGCGGCAATTTGACCGCCAACCTATACGGTTTGAGGGCACTTGAAGCTTTCCTGTCGATGTTGCTTGTCGGAGAAAGCAGAGCTTCAGGTTGAAATTGATATCATCACGTGATGATATCAGAGTATGACCAACTGGGTTATTCGAGGAGCAATTGGAAGCAACGTTATCACTCGAGAGCATCTCTTGAATTTATATTTTATCCAATTGAACTGACTGGTCCGTATAGAGCCTGTACCCCTTTTCAGGGCACTATTCTTGTAAGATACTTTCCTGTACTGCACTCATTGGCATTACCAGCCAGAAGTGCATCGAGATCTGCACGTGACCACGCGTCCCGCGCACCGCGTCAACCCAAGAAGCTTCGAAGCAACTCCGATATGTAGTCAGCTATTCGCACACCTCCAGAATATTTCAAAATCTCCGATTCCCCCAATATCCCGCTTCGGCAACCAATACATAATCGCGAAGATGTCCCTCCAAACCCCCCGCATCCTCCCCGCCCACCTCAACGCCTTCCACCCCTCCAGCTCAGGCCCGCGCTCAACACACACCGTCCGCATCCTAGGCACGGTGACCGGACTCCGCGGTGACCAAGCTACGATTACATGTGGCAATAACGGCGATGTCACTCTCATCTTGAAGCCGGATTCGCATTTGCAGATGGGCAAGCTTGTCGAGGTTGTAGGGAAAGTTACCGATTTGGAAGGTGGTCAGGTATGTTGATTGACACTCGATATTTTGCCCTCGTGCAATATGGGTTTATGCGTGAGAAATGGATCGCACGAGCACTCCGTGTCTTGTGATAATTATAGATAGCTGATAATGGCATCCTCAGGGTCTTGGTATTCGGGTATTGGGCACGACAGACTGGGGTAACCCTTCGGACTGCGGTTAGTCTTTCTTTTTTTTTTGCTTTTTACGCTCGATTGTGGATTGGACTTGGCTGATTGATACTGATATCTGTTACTGCAGACTACAAAATCTACGAACAAGTCGTTGAGGCCACCCACCGTTTCAAGTCTATCTTCTACGACGCCGAGTAGGGAACCGCTGAAGTAGGAGGAAAGATACACCGTATTCCCGGCATCTGAATATTACTCAGGAGTCATGTCCCGAGGTTTGAGACATTAGATGCTACCATTTTACCTGTTTCGTGTCCTGCATGGACTTTGCATATCACGTACGATTTCATGATCAATGAAACTTTTGTCGATGGCAACATTGCGCAATACAGGCCAAAAAATCCTGTAATCTGTCTTTGACTTTGGAAGGTAATTAATATATTGCTTTATTGCTTTGTAACCTTCATGTGGCCGCCATTCGAGAACAAAGGGGCAATATGAAGCTTGACTACCTCCAATGTCAGCCATCCTAGATTTACTCTGACTCTGGCCCAGTAGGATTGCGCAGAATTTGGTCTTAGCAATAAGAGGCAGCCTGGGTTTTAAGAGAAGCCGGCAATCTTATCAAGTTAAATATTTGATGTGTATGGATCAGGTGTATTAGATTTGTAATCTGATTCTTTCAAGTCCCTCTAGTTGGCACTTCTGGTCATCACATATCACAAAATGAAAATCATCACATAAAAGCCATGGGCCCACCCGTAGGCAAAGACCGACAATGCAGTAAAAGGCAACAAGATCGTGTACCTCACAAAACCCAAACGCCGACGCTAAAGATATCCCAATAGGATGCAAAGGGGAATAAGAAAGGGGGGAAAACATCAAGAGGAAAAAGAGACAAGGTTGTCTATGCTCATGCCGAAGAAGAGGCTGCCTGGCCACGCTCCTTGGGAGGCTTGGTGGCTTTGGTGGTGGCTCGATTCACAGGGTCGGCATGGAGAGCATCGGAGCTGAAGAAGCCCGAGTCGGGAACGACGTTGTCATCAAAGGTGAAGGGCATGAATTCTGAGTTATGGAGATTCTCTTTCAGGATAGCCGGATCTGAAAGGATTGCGTTGATGAGCTCGTCGGATGGATTATTATCTTCATCGGACGCGGCGGGGGAGACGTAGTTGGAAGGAAGCCAGTCCGCCCAGTTGTTTCCGGAGAACTTGACATTTTCGAGTTGGAATGAGTTGGCCTCATCGGGAGCATCATCGAAGATATCAAGGATCATGCCATCGAGAGGTGTAAAAGCCTCGGAGTGTAGACCAGTATCGGGCAATGCGGGAACGCCTTGCTTGGTAGAAGATCTGTTTTGAGAACCGACAGAGCGTGGAGAACGCTCTGGCCCATCCTGGATGCGCTGTAGTCGCTCAGCAGTGAGACGAGCAGCGGCGGTAGGTACTCCGACATCCTTGCGCCTATTGGCAGTAGGCGAGTTGCATGGTAATGAGTGGCGTCTCTCGTGCAGGGCAGCTGGACGAGTGTGACGGCGCCGAGGAGTTGGGCTAACTGGCAGATCGAAATCTAGCGAAGGGGCTTCGAAGAGATCGTCGATGTCGTCCTGAGGCGTGGGCGCCAAATTTTCCTTCGACCCGATCTGCTTATCACCCTTTGTGAGGCGGGGGCTGCGACGAGGCGAGCAGCTATTCACGAATGAAGAACCAAGCTCCTTCAGTGCTCCTTCCTTCTGAGAAGATGCAAAGAGAGCACGGCGCACGGGCCTCGGGGTGAGCTTGGTTTCATCGGGGGCAGGGAAGTTGCGATTTTCAATGTTCCTGGCTGGGCTGGATTGAATAGCAAGTCGCAAAGCCTCAATGGCTTCCTGCTGGTCCCAACGAGGTTTCTCGCTGGATCGTGGAGGCTCGGCACTGTTTGCCCTGCGCCGTTTGTTAGGGTACTCTTCTTCGTCATCCGGTCCTTGGCTTTGATCTAGGTCCTGGTTCTCCATATTGGGAGTATCGCCCTCCTCATTGTGCACAGAAGATGCTTCCGTGGGGGCGGGAGAAGACTGTGCCGTGCGAATCGAGACAGCCTTGCTGCGAGTGCGCGTAGAGGGCTTAGACAAGGGACCACCGCTCTGCTTGCGATTCCGAGAGGGGCGCTTCTGCCTGCCATCACTTCCACACGCAGGTGGCTGCCGATTCCATCGGTTCTCGGGACGCATGGTCTTGCACTTGTGAAGCCAGAGACCGCAAGGGTTACAAAGCAGGAGTTGTGTCCATCCTTGGTCCTCGGGGCTCGTACCGGTACCGAGGCCTTTTTTGTAGAGCCGGAACTTGACAACTTCTTTCTTGTCATTCCGCTCGAGCGCTTCCCAGAAGAGCAAACCTCGCGTCTTCATCATGCCCTTTGCGTCCTCTTCGCTGCCAGAGACATCTTTTGTCCATGCTCGTCTCCATGTAGGTGTTTCGATAGTTCCACAATTCTCGCAGTACGGTGGAATTCCACCACTGGCAATGGCTGCATCGAGTCGAGCCTGAACCGCCATTGCTCTCCTCGCTGCACCTCCGCTGCGAGGGGCCCGTCTGGTGTGCTCAGGTTGGGGCGCAGGCGTCTCGACAATAGAAAAATCGCTCATCGGCCCCGCGCTGGTCTGCGAATAATAGGGAGGCGGCTGGATGGGAGCCACCGGGTCGCTTGGGGGGATAGACCTCCGAAACTGTTCAATATCACTTTGTGACATGGGCCCCGCGTTGGTCTGCGAATAATAAGGAGGCGGATTGATGGGAACCACCGGGTCGCTTGGGGGGATAGACCTCCGAAACTGTTCAATCTCACTTTGTGAAATGGGCGCGGGTGCCAGCGGTTTAGGCGTCGGTCGACAGCTCATGCGCGAAGATGGCCTAGATCCAGCTGATGTGTTTGGGCGTGGAAGAGAAGTCATTTGATTGGACTTGTGCTCCCCTGGACCATCGCTCACTAGCATAGAATCATTCAGACTCTCTGACACTAGACCAATCGCACTAGCCGGAGAAGATGCTTGCACGGCCGAACGAACGGACCGAGAGCGCTTCTCGCCAGTCACAGGCCGGGAGTCAGCCGTCTGGGACTCTTCCACAGGAGTGCCAGCTCCTTCATCCAGAAGGTCATCCAGACCGCCACTCATGAAACCAGAATCGGTGTCCAGGGAGATGGGAGGTAAGTTGGGACTAGACCGGGACGGAAATCGGGACTCCAGAACTGGAGGCGAAGAAGGCATATTGAAGGGAGGCTCAAACAGACCCTGGTACCGGTCTTCTGGAGAATGGGCTGTCTGATCTGTGGCCACATCGTCGCTATGAGTGTAAGGAGATGCGTACGAGCTACTGCTATGCGAGGAACTCTCTCGTAGCAGACTGGCCGGCAGTCGTATACGCCGGTGGAAGTCGCCAGGGCGAGAGATGGGAGTTGGGGGGCGAACGGGTTCCTCGTGAGATTGCTCTACGGAAAGAGCAGGGTTCACCGGGGTTGGGCGATGGATTCGTACAGAGGCTGCAGTGCTGGCAGCCACCCGCAGCGAGCTGGGCTGTCGTTCAATGTTCATATCAGACTTGCCTGGCCATCCTGCTTGGTAGAGCTTCGCCCTCTTCCGTTGCTGTGGTTCGGCCATATCCTCGCCTCCACTGCCATAGCCCGAATTGATCGAGTCTCTCCGTGAACGAACGCCAAATTGGTGGAGTTGGAAGTCACTGTCCTGCATAGAAGCACTGGATGAAGGGCGGATGTTATCACTGTGAGAAAAGCTTTGCTTTGGTTGCGGAGCCTGTTGGTGTTGTGTAGGAGTGCGTGTTCCTGCGGGAGTGGACATTCGGCTAGGAGGACCGAAAGAGTGGGTAGGCGATGAAGAACGGACAGACTCGTTGGTAGGATAAGTCGAGTAATCCCGCGGCGTGGCACTTTCACTCAGAAGCTGGTGGACTCGTTCGATACCCGATTGATCCATTGGCGAAGGCACGCGACCTTGTTGCTGATTCCGAGAGGCCTCCAGAAGAGCCGGATTCTGCCGGAGGAAATTTGTCCACGACTGCGCATCAAAATCGTGAGGGATGACATTGCTCAATTCGCGGTACTTCTGCATACTGTCGAGGTATTCGCTTTGCATGACTGTGGGGACTGGGACTAGTCGTAATTTGACTTCCAACGTCTCCTGGGTGCCCTTGGAGAAAAGTCCAAGGGGATTTTTGCACACCCGACCAGTTACCATAGTCTTGGACTGGTGAGCCGGAGCATCGGGTGTTGGCGAGGCAGATGCAAGAACCCATGATAGCATTCCCTGTCCAACCAAAGGGGTTTCGTATTCGGAGTAATCGTAGGCGTAGACAGTGTAGTCCTTTCCCAACTGTGCCACCAATTCAGGACTAAATCGGACTGTGTGAGTATTTGAAAGGTGATTCCACAGTATAGAGGGGCAAGGTAGTCAAACCTGGCAGAAACGATCGCCTGGATGCATGTCTTCAGCTCGATTACACCGATCTGAGTTTGCTCATCCAGAAAAGCAGTCTGGAGGTCGAGTACGTGGGGCCACCGAGCGAGGCAATTTGTCTTGTTCTCATTATCAAACGTATATAAGACCTTGAGCCTCATCGGCCGGACGGTAATTCCGTCCTGAGATTCCATCTCAACAAACTCTGCTTGTACACCATGTACGACAGTGGGCTGAAAAACAATGTCGAAAATCGGAGGAAATGAGGGATAGAAGAAGGTGGATGGCCGGGTGCCGGAGGTTTTAGGAGGCAAATTCCAAGTTGGCACTTGGTAGGTAGGACGTGAATGTGTGGGTATTGAATCCGGCAGGACAGAGCAATAATGATGGCTTGATGCACTCGAGTACTTGGAAGGGATGGTAAGGTTGGAGCGGGGCAGTCCCCAGCCGAGTGACTATTGAAAAACCTGGTGGTCCGGGAGAATCGGTAGATTATGCTGCAGGAGGTGGAGTAGACTGCAGCATTGGAATGTTAGCCGGAACGATTAACAGCTGAGAAGGATCCTCGGCAGGGTGAAATTATAGACCGCCTCTTAGGACGGACTAGTTGCATGGAATCAAAAAGGAATTGGCAGAGGAAAAAGGACGTACAGCCTGCTGAGGGAAGAAGGAAGGGTGGGGAGAAGTGAGGAGCGAGTAAGGAAGAAAGAAAGAGGCGGGAGTGGTTGTAGAAAAAGAAGCCTTGCATACGCGGGTTGAAGCTATCCGTCGATCAACAAGCGTGTACGCGACGTGACAAGCCAATCGCGCACGCTTTTATTGTGCCTGAAATGTAAGGCATACAGGTGAGCTGGCCCCCTCTTGGTCACGTGATAGGTCGAACTTGACCGCGCGATCTTCACAACCCGACGAGACCATCCAGGCCCTTTTATATTCCCAATCTTCCACACACCATGTCGACAGCTCCGGACCCCAAGATTCAGTACGTTTTGCAATGGATGACTCATTATACTTTGGTATATCTCAGCTGACCCATGTTCCCCGAACAGAGACCTGCTCAACAAGCCGAAGAGCGAGCTCACGTATGTCTTTCTACCTTCCTCACCCCCAAACCCGACCACCTTGACGAGGTTTCCCGATCGCTCGATGGATGAGCATCCCTCTACCCCCCTCTTACTTCTTCCGAGTGCTGCCTAATCGCCGGAAATGCGGGGTTGTCAATATCTCCGAACCATATTCTCCTGCTCTCTCCCCTCAATCCCATCACATTCCGATACATGCAGGCAAAGAGTGTACATAAAACTAATCGTGCATCGCGCATGCTCCAGAGAATATGAGGTCGCTCTCGTTGAGGAGCACGAGCTCACCGCCGGCCCTCTCTCGCTTCTGCAGACCGCTACCCGCACGCACACCCAGGTCCTGATCTCCTGCCGTAACAACCGGAAGCTACTGGCCCGTGTCAAGGCTTTTGACCGACACTGCAATATGGTGTTGGAGAACGTGAAGGAGATGTGGACCGAGAAGCCCAAGGGCAGCAAGGGCAAGGGTGTGAACAAGGACCGCTTCATCAGCAAGATGTAAGTTTGGATTCGGACATTTGGTCATGTCTCCTGCGATGGCCCGACCGCACGATCTCAACTACCTGACATGGGTTGGCGAGATTCGTGATAATTCGGACCTTTTTGCGTTCTTATCAACTAACCTTGTCCCCCTCTTTCCTAGGTTCCTGCGTGGTGACTCTGTCATCCTCGTCCTGCTGAGCTGAGCGCCTTATTTCGTCATCCTATCTTTTATCGCGCACGTTCATTCCACCAGGGGTTCCAACCCTGGTTTCTTAGATCCGAATCTGCGGGACGGTTGATCTTGCTGCATTGTGCGCCGCTTAGGTGCACACAGAGAACGACGCTTTGTTCGCTTTCTACTTTCTGGGATCAAAAAAAGGATTTTCTTATGTAATCGATCTCGATACCCTTTTTCTTATCTGTTTCCTCCCGACTCTACAACAACCTTTGCCGCCCTTGCTTCTAGCCACTGCTAGGGCTTTCCAGATCAGCGCATTGTTCCGTATGAAGTAACGTCGTTTTGTAACGTTACTTTGGTCGATGCTCCTGGTCAAACTTTGGATGGATAAAAATGAAACTACCTCCGGCGTTCAGTCTTTTTTTTCGGGTCGATGAATGGGCGCTTCTAGAGGTAAGCGTCGAGCGGCGTCATGTCCTTGGAGTAGCAGATGTTCTTTAGCAATGGAATTTTCGAAAGACCATGGATAATTCAAGTACTGTCATACCTAATGCGAGGCCTCACTAGTCCCATGTAGACCTAGAATGACTTTTCGAGTAAACTGCTATCAGTCACCTGGAGTAGTCTGCACGATCACCCTACACTGGACAAAATTCATCTACATAGTGCCATAGCATATGGATATTGTACGGTGGGACCAACTCAAGATCCATCGTCATCATTATGAGATAATATTAGAACAAGACCGCGAGGCAATCCCCAAAAGATGGTCACCGGGCCAAATGAAACGCCTTTTACATCGAAAATCAGGACATGGAATGGGGCGCCTTCTCTTGACTACCCATCACTAGGCAGTCTGAGATCTCATGTCAATCAACGGCATATACAGTATCAAAATCTAAACCGCCTCCGCCAGGCCAGTCAAGAACTCACTAAGCCCATAAGCACCAGGATCAGGTACCTTTCCAATCCACTCGGACTGACCACCAACATAAACCGATCGACCAAGACTAGCCTTCATACTCTTAGTCGACTCGGTCCCCTGCTGCGCAGCAGCGGCCGCAACACGCACATCCTGCGTCTCGAGAAGGGTATCGCAGAACGGAACTAGCGCATCGATCAGCGTACGGTCACCCGGCTTCGCGGGCGTGTACTTGGTCAACGCGTTGACGGAGTGTTTCAATGCTTTAGCCCAGACTTCGGTTGTGACGGGCAGATTAGAGCCAGTGTCTTGGTCGCGTAGGCCGTGGGCTAGGGCGTTTAGGAAGATGGCGTAGATGGCGCCTGATGTGCCGTCCATTACGTTTTCGACGACGTCGACGATGCGTAGGACGGTGTTAACGGCGTCGTCGCTCAGAGCTGGGGAAGAGCTATCGAGGAGTTTTTGGATCGCTTCGGCGCCGCGCTTAAGACCGATGCCGCAGTCGCCGTCACCGACGATGGTGTCGTAGCGGGTGACTTCGGGCTCGGCAGCAATGACGCGCTTGAGACCGGCGCTGAGCGCTTTCTTGATGATTAATGGGTCGACTGCGGTGGGCATTAGCGTGAGTGGGAGGGAGGTTTTAAAAGGAGATTAGACCAGGAATCATGACTTACGCTTCAGGTTGCTGGGGGTGTCCTCAATGACATTAGAAGCCTTGAGCTCAACGGGCGTGTCAATGCGCTCGTTCCATGTAGAGGGGGCGATGGGAGCTGACCAGCCCACGGCCTCGGCAGGGGCATCGATCAGGTCAAGCATCGATTTGCCCTTGCCCAGGCCGTTGTCGGCCAGCTTCAGCAGCGAGATGCTGAAGCCCATGCCGTTCAAGCTGGTCAGGAAAGTGCCCTGGATGACCCGGACAGGCTTGACCTTGTGATCGCGCACGAGCTGACGATGTACCTCATCGGTGATACCGGCCAGCTCGATAGGGCTAACACCACCTAAATTGTTGACCAGCAGAACAAAATCATCCTCGGAGGTGTGCTTCACGAAGGCGCGGTCAGTATCATTCGGATCGAGCAGCTGCTTGAGCATAGTCGAGACCGTCTCGTTCAAGTCAGCCTTGACGCGGTGAGATCCAGGCTCGTTGTGAATACCCATGCCGATCTCAACTTCGCCATTAGGGATAAAGTCTTCCGGCACGCCACGACCAGGGACGTGAACGTGCTCGAGTGAAGAACCAATAGAGACCAAGTTATCATTGGCAAATTGCGCGAGCTTGTAAACCTCCTCCAAGGAACCACTGGAAGAAACCACCGTCAGTCTCGTCTCATAATTCACAGAAAATCAGCACCAAACTTACCCAGCCTCGGCCAGAGCACCAGTAATCTTCAGAATAAGCACACCACCAGCGATACCACGACGACCAACCTTACCACCCTTCTCCCGACCAACACCCACATCATCATTAATCGCAAAGAACTCAGTGCGAATACCAGCAGCGCGGCACTTCTCCGCAGCCATACCAAAGTTCAAGACATCACCGGTATAGTTGTTAGGAAGGATAAGGACGCCAGCGTCCGTGGGGACCCGATCAATTGCAGCTCTGCGAATCTGTTCTGCCGAGGGCGATGCGAAAATGCTTCCAGCCACGGAGGCGTCACAGAAACCTTTGCCGACGAAGCCCGCAAATGCAGGCTCGTGACCCGAACCACCCCCGGTTATGATAGAGACCTTGCCAGGCTTGCGGGAAGCATCTGGGCGGCGGAAGATAATTTTGTTCTGAGCATCGAAGGCGAGGGAAGGGTTTGTTAGGGTGAGGGAGTTGAGTGCGGTGAGAACCAGATGGTTCGGGTCGGAGAAGAAGTGCTTGGCTAAGAGAGAGAGAGATAGAATGTCAGATTCGAGTTTCGTTCCCTCTTGCGTAGATCCGTAGATCCACCGGATCAGCCAGTACGCGCTCCACTGGAAAAAAAAGCAGGGCAGTGGGGATGAGAATGTAGAGGAGACCTACTCTGCATTATTATTGATCAACAAGTGGACTTTATTAACAGTCTTGTCCGAATATTCTTGCTGTTTCTAATGTCTTTCGCGTTTTATGTCGAAAAGCGAGCTACCGAGTATATGAATCACGGAAATCCGGGGTAATTCCACGCAGGAGAATCGACGGTATTTATACAACGGTCCCTTTGCGCAATTCGTCGCAAAGTGTTGCCAAATGCCAAGTCGCCAATCGGCAAGCTGTTGTGTAATTTCACAGGTCCGAGTGTTCGTCAAGTAAACCAGGTGTCGCCCGTTGGACAGCAGGTCGCGGATTGGACTTCGAGGCGATGTGAAGGCGGGGAAAAAGTGGGGAGTTGACACCGCGGGGACACTGGGATTCAAGTTAGCTGATTTCCAACAAACAAGCCGGGGAGAATGGGAAATTGATCTGAGGGATTCGTGGGGTAATCTTGGAGATTGCGAGGGTCTCAAGTGGGGGTTTGTTCAATCGTACATTATTGGAAGCGCAGAGGAGGGACCCTGCGATTTGGAAGTACAGAATGAAGTATACCGTATACACCACAGAGGTCAGTAGGAGTTGAACGACTCTACGACAAAGGGGGGGGGAAATCCTCCTCTTTAAGACTTCAGATCTAGCTCAATACCTACTCTTTTACCATGTTCCTTTTTTTTTTTTCTGCTGCTCACATGAGCCCATCTTCACCCCATCGTGCTACGGTCTGGACCGTAGGCGCTTCGGCTTACCTACTACGGATATCCCGCCTACCCGCCAGGCACCGCATTCCGCGCCCGGGAAGAAATAGCCACGACTTCAGTACGATGTAATACTTAACTAGTATACTTACTGATTCTACGAGACAGCGGGGAAAGCGGCTGACTGAGCTTGTCGTCCGAAACATACACCGCTGGGGAACGGGCGCAACCGGTTCATGACTTGATAGACCGCATTCAATGGTTCCTCCTTCTCGCCCGAGTAGTAGACAACGGCCATGCTGTCCTCCTATCCCTTGCACACCTAGTCCCCTAAGAGCTTAAACAGCAAGTTAGCCGTGACAACATACCGCCCCTACACTATCCTATGCTACAAGTTTCGGTTTTAAGGGTTTCTTACGAGGACATTTGTATCCCAAATGTCTATTATGCTAGTAAAGTGGTCCGTGACGGCAAGCCATATAGCTGACCCACTTGAAGTATAAGCTCTATGGGTTAAGCAGCCTAAATCACCCTTTATCACGTTCCGTTCATCTTCCAATATTTCAGCCATGATATGTCCATACCTACGGAATCTGGGTCCAGACTAAATCGGGGGCCAGGACAAGGCCCCGGTGGCGCGCGCTTCGCACGCTGTGGGATCGTACAAGCCAGGATCATTTAAATATCACCAAAGTGAATTTGACGGATCCGTTCCATTTCCAGCTCTTCGAGCATTGGTTGTAGGAATTTGTCAATCTCATTAACCCAGAAAGAGTTTTGTGGCTTGACTTGGTGGGCAGACGTATATTCCCAATATGATGGATACTAACCAGCAGTTTCCCAATCAACAATACCAACGATATCATCCCCACGTACAAGAATATTGAGGCTGCTAAGATCACCGTGAGTAAACACCAGAGGCCAAGACTTGCTTTGTTGTTTGATGAGGTCATGAATTTCAGGGTCAAGCCTTGAATCAAATTCCATGCCCATACGTAGACACCGATGGAAATCCTGGACGGTATCAAAGGGACCGAAGCGTAAGGAAGGGCCCGGAACGCGACAGTCAAAAAGCGATCCGCGAACAACAGAAGCAACTCCAATGCCTGGTGGGGGCTGAAGGTCCCGCATCTCGCGAACCTTTCCGGCTAACTGCGTAAGAAGTTTCGCCTTGGAATCCTCGCTTCGTTTCACCCATCCTCTACCAATCATGTCTCCTTTGATCCTTTCCATCACAATGTAGGTCCTCCCGGAACGGGTAAATGCGCATAAAACTCTTGGTACCGGGATGGATGTATGTTGCGATATGAATCGCATTGTTGATGCTTCAGATAACTGAACGCGGCGCCCATACTTGACACATAGTCCGTCCGTCAACATGAGGACGTTTCCTTCTCGAGGTCGAATACGCTTGAGAATTCGGATCGCTAGAAGTGTCAAACACCGATACACAACGTTACTATTGACTGGTTTGGATGAGTTCAACGAAGCAGTGGATGGTGAGCGGGAAGGTTTCTTTTGACTGGATGACATTGTGATTGTATTCGACGCAAAGGAGTTGATGAAGGGAATATATTGGGGAAATTTTCTTCCTTGATATTGCATAGCATGGAACAAACAAACCATTGGTGATTGAAAATTGGATAGTATCGGCGCAAAAAGCCCTCAATGGGAAGTGATAGTGGTTGGTGAAGGAGAAGTCTCACGATTCCTAATTCGGAAGGCGTCCTTCTCAGCACGTGATATCGCCTAAGGCGGTTGGGATTTCTGCTAGCCCGAGCATAAGAGATGCAGAGAAGGGATGCAAAGGGACATCATGAGACCAGCCAAAAAAAGACGTGCTCCACATCGTGCCAGTCCCGCGTCAGATCGCCGAGGTGGGGTCTCCAGGGGAGAGGTTCGACCGTGCCCTGAGAGGATAACAATAGCACAAAGCGAATTAGGTCAATTGGCTGTAATATAATGGTTAGTGTGGAGTTCATCTGGGTAAAGGAGAGATGATAAGTTGCATTTTCTGATGTAATAGATATGGCTTTTATTCATGAATTCCTATAAGAGACCCTGACAGCCTCGAATGGAAGAAGTAATGGTCCTAGTCCAATCATGTGCTGGCCCCACCACAAAGTCACGAGCAGCCCCCCTCAACGCATCAACTTACTAGTGCGCCTACCAGGTGGTTCTTGCAGGACATATCTTGAATTGAGGACTGTACCGTGCTTCGCTATGAGCATTTCCGTGGTCAATAATGATCTAATCGGATTGAACTAGCAACCGTAAGTCTTAGATATCTGGCTATCTTGTTCTGTTGCTGCTCTCGAAGGAGTAGTCCAAGTCTGGCCGGGCTCCCCACCAGTGCCGAAAGCAAAAGTATAGGCTAAGACGATTCTTTTAATTCTACGGCTTTTGTTATCTTTTGCGCGTCTCATTCGTTGCCAGCTTCGAACCGAATTTGGCTCTCCCAATAAGAAGTTCTCAAAATCTAAGCCGCAGAATCGCTTAAAGGACACGATTGAGAGTGCACTGAGCATTAACGTCTATGTTCACAAGGCCATACTGTCGGGCTACCTGTCAGTCGCTATGTCCATCGTTAAAGGCAAAGTAGTGTCTTACCTGTTCAACGTCGTCATGAGAGCAGCAGTAGACGTCACCACCAGCGCAGTTTTCACCTAATGCCCCAGGCAGAACGTTGCCTAGAGTGATCAGACCACCGTTTCCTTGTCCTTGACACACCACGGTCTGATTGCTTGCACAAACGTTTCCAACTTCATTTTGAGGCAGAGCAATGACAGTGGCCACAAAGAGGAAGGAGGCAACGACAAATTTCATGATGTACTATAAAGTATATTGAAGGGCGTTAAGCTGACTGTGGTATATGAAGAGTGTGCGGCTGGTTGTGAGATTTAAAAGTAGTATTTGAGGAGAATAAACTATGCATCTCAGTGGGATCCAGTACTTTATAGTTGTCTTTCAAGGTGAAGACCAAGTTCTTCTATCAACAACAAATATGTCGATCCCCCTTTAATTGAAGATCTCTTGTACTTATACTTGAACAATACCTTGAAAGACAACTATAGAGCTCGATCCCACTGAGTTGCATAGATCCTTCCTCTTAAGTATTATTTTAATCTCAAACCTATAATAGTTGGATGCACTAGATCGACTGGCCGAGGACGCCGCATGTTTAGCGTGTGTATAGCATTTTCGTGTAAAATACAAATATTGATGTCTCATCTCGCGTCGTAAAATACAAATTCTATTCAAGGAAGCGGTCTGTGGACAAGGGGTGCGGGCAAGTAACGTATCAGAACTCTCGTGTTTCGGGAATTTTTGCCGGGAATCAAGTCGTAAGAATGTGAAGGTAAAATTGAATTCGAAAACTACTGTACACAGTTAGTAGTCAGTCCGTTCGAGAAACAGTAAACTGCCTCGTATCGTACCTAGTAGTGCTCTCCTGTCCCGGCTCGGCAAATGGAGACTCGGAGCTACTCCGACCGTTCTTCCGTCTTCCACTTGGGTTCTACCGAAGAAGAGCATACAAACATACTGCTATGTCGAAACACCAAAGTGCCCATAGTGGACAGTTGGTACGTGTCAACACCCCGGAAATCTTAGCATTGCAGATACATATACACTCTTCTTGGCGATAAGTATTAATTCATGGTTCAATTGCATAATCCTAAGCGCTGGCCCTGAACTGGAGGGGGGAAAGAAAAAGACTGAAAAACGGTAAATCCACGCGCCCTTCCGGTCCCAAAATGGAAATCCCACGCACCGCTAAAACAGAAAAAACGGAGACTCTCAGCCCCACCGGCCAGGGGCATCTTGCTCTATGCCACGTATCTGTATTGATTGTTCTCGCCTCGCTCCATGTAGTCCTTTTCAATCAATCTGTGTTGGGAAATTGTCAGCCCAAATGCTCACCGGACGCATAAACAGACGGGATTCGACAAGAGCATAAATAAAGAGGGGGAGCATACTTCTCAATGTTGGTCTTGATCTCGGCGGGCTGGAGGGTACCACGGTGACGAGTAGCCTCGATCACCTCCGCAATGAGCTCGGCATGCTTGATGGTCTTGCGACTCTTCATGATGCGCACAATCGCCGCCTGGGTCTCATAGTGTCGGTCGGCCGCGACTCGTTCGTGGGTCGTCTTATTCTCCTCCTTGGTCTCCTTCAATTGGATCTGATTGATCTTGATACGCATCTTGGCGTCGGTGAAGCTGGCATTGTAGGAGAAGATGTCGGTTGTCTCTACCTCCTTGCCCTTTGGTGTTTTCGTCAAGACGCGGTATTTGGCGCATGCGAGCGACTGCAACGTTCGCTTCAATTCAGGGTCCGCTAAAGGCATCGTTAGTTAGGCTTCAATGAGAACGAGAATATATTACTTACAAAGTCCCGTTGCGGCTTGAATCTCCGAGTAGGGCAAAGTTTCTTCCTCACCGATGTCGTTGAAGAGGAGCAGCACGATTGCCTGGAACGAGCTCACCACTAGTTCTTTGGGACCCTTGGGGAATTTGGCTCGCAATTGGCAGTGTGCGAGCTGGTGCTTCCAGTTGAGCCGGCGACCGGTATGTTTGTTACAATAAAACTCTTGGAAGTCATTGATCGAGGTGGCAATTGTCGATGGGATACGCACGGGAACATCGGCGTATGTTGGCCATGCGGCGGCGGAGAGAACATTGACACTGAGGTCAACCGGTGGGCGATCCTTGCGACTACGCTCTCGGTTGAATGCAGTATATGCTGACATCTCGTCGCGCGCCACTTCCATGTCCTTAAACATAGTCTCAAGGTTATGTGTAAAGCTTGATCCACATTCTAGCGAGGAGTCAGTCAAATTTGAAACAAGGAAAAAAGCACGCACAAGAATGTGTTTAAATGAGTATATACCTCTCTTCAGCCGACCCAGCATACTCTTCTCGGCATCATCACTTGCACTTCGGCCCATTAATAGACGTCTAGCAAGATCGTTCTTGTAAAAGGCTTCAAACACGGCCTTTCCTTGTACAAATCGGAACAGGTCCAGGACTTGGTCGAGTTGGCGATTGATTTCGGCATCCTCATCCGCCATCGCGCCCTCTTGCTGGCTAGCAGGCATCTTCCAGCCGCCTTTCAACAACCGATCCACGTACTTGGCGATCATCTCTCCGGTCTTGGGATTGTCGGTACCGGCATTGGTTTCCCCCTTCTTCCCAAGGTTCATGAATTGGCCGAATGCCTCGCGCAGAGTATGACCGAGGTCTTCATTCCGATCGAAAGACTCAGTCAGCGTATCATCCAACTGCTTCTTGAATTGCAGTAGATGCACGACCATGTCCGCTTCATTCTTCTCGTCAAAGACAATGTTGGAACCCTCTTCGACGATGAAATGGCCAAAAGCAGACTTTAATTTGATTGCCAAGTTCCGCCGGGCGAGAAGGCTGTATAGCTGTTTCAAAGCAGCCTTGTTGCCCGATCGCATCAGACCGAGCACGTCATTCTCATTAAGAAGCACGGCCTCATGCTCTGCAACCAGTATCTCATCCAAGAGCTCGGACAGCCTCTGCTTGGTACTCCGATTCAATGAAAATAACCCACACCGTTCAACTTCACGTTCAATCAGATGTTGGCTGTTCTCGACGTATGAAGCGAGATACCCGGTAGATTCCCGTTGTGCCCATGAATCAACGAAGCTGCGCGAGTCACCAATGAAAAGCGGCTCAAAGTCGCTGCTGTAGACCTCGAGGCTATGGAAGAGCTCTATAGCGTCTCGGAGTAATGTCGCATCGGGAATGATACTAGTCTCGGCGCCGCGGTCAGCAGCGATGAGATCGCAGGCACCTCGTAAGATTTTAGGCTTCAAGCTCTGATCGGCGAACACGTAGGCGCGAAACTGGATCAGTCCCATTTCCTGGATCACAGGGAAATCTTTGGAGTGCAAGAGAAATGACTGGTCAAGATAGTAGAAGATCCACCGAACTGTGATCTGTAATAAAGTTAGTCTATAGGTCAATGATTCCCGGAGGTAATAAAAACACACTAGTCTCGAGTGCCAGACCGACCATGCCTCGATCACTGCCCGCAATGTATCGACATCGGTTCCACCTCCAGCCCTTGTCACCAGGTTGTCCCGTAACTTCCCAGCTACGTAGTCCTTGCATCTCTCCTGTACCTTCTTGGCTAGCAAGGCCGCCCGCTCTTGACGACAGATGTTCTCTGCGCCCTTGTATAGCTCTTCCAATGAGATCTCAGGCTTCTGGCCATCAAAGATAGCTGATAGTGCAGCATCCAGCTGCGCCCAGGTCTTGTCGAAGTATGGCTCTTGGTTCATCCGAGGTCCCGTGCGAAGGTTCTTGACGACAAGCTTCTTTGCTCCCGCATGAGGGCTGAAGTTGTTCTGACGGGCATTCGCGCCGGAAGACTGTATCTTTGCTAAAGGTGTATTCGCATTCAATCCTGTCGATGTGCGCACGAAAGCAGCGCCATTCTTAGGCGGGGAACCTGAGAAGTTATACATCTTGTTTGGTGCTACCGGGTGACCAGAGGCTGGGCGCGAAGGTGAAACGGAGAAGCGGGACCGTTTCGAGGAAGGAGATAGGTTCTGTGAGGGTTTGTTGCGCGAGGAATTCGAGGAAAGAAGCTCCGAGATGGTCCGCTGCGAGTGCGACTGTGATGGCTCTCCTTGATCGGAAAGCTTCCTCTTGCCGCTCGATTTGCGCTTACCGCTCCGCTGGTCGGGGTCGGCGCTCGGGTTTTGCTGCATTCAGCCGGTTCAGTCCGACGCGGAGGGAAAGCTTTTAACGGTGGAAGGATGGCGATGATAGATCGATCATGTCTCCGCCAGGGCGGTCTGGGCGGAGTCGTGCGGGTTTCGGGTGTTGAGGGGAATTGGCGTTGCTCCTCTCTGGCGGAGGTTCCAACCTCCGCACGGCGATAAGATAGCAGCAGCTCCGAACCCGTGCAACGCCGTCATAGGTGCTAGTAACTAACTGGGTTTCTTTTTCAGGTATTTTGTAGCCTCTGGGATCCAATATCAACATTCGTTTTGATACACATCAACTCCAGCTTTCGAGACTCTTTCGGAATCTGTCTCCCAAATGTGACCTGTCACTCTTCATTCTGCCGGCACGTGTACTCGATCATGGGTGACTTGCCAGAAATATATATGTCGAGACCTGTGACCATGCGGTGTTTTTAATTATGGCTGTCTGGTCCTCAATCACCGGCATCAGCCCCAATTCTACTGAGTATGCTGTCAGCATTACCAAGTTAGCCCTCCAAACCTACTGAAATCTAGATTTAAAGCCGAAAATATACCGAACGTACCTGGCTGGACGGATATATTCATTCATCGTCGAGCCAGAAACGAAATGTAATGCATTCATGTAAATGTGACTCGAAAATCGCTTGACCGCCTACTCCGCTGATATATTACACGCCAATTCTCCTGGACCTATCCATGCACATCCCTAAAGCCAAGGTCATGAGAACAGAGCGGGCCGAGTGCTCTGCTTGATTTCTTGATCCTCAAACTGCGAAAAGGTATGAGCAACTAGATTCATCTGAGACGAGGGTGGGGGAAACAAACCTCGAGGAAATCAGTAGCGGTCACTAAGGCCATAAATGACTTGACGAGTTCGCAGAGAGCTTCATGATGAGTGGCACTAGTGCTGCCACCAATTTTGGCAAATCGCTTGAAGACACCGACCATGCAGGGCCTATTCTCGGTGATGAAGGCTCGAGTCTGTGCCTTGATCTGCTCATTATGGGGGCCCCTTGAGAAAACAGCTGAAACGATGACACGGATCACAGACAGAAGTAAGTCGTAGTACTTCCGGAGAGCATCC